CTTCCCCGCGCGGCCGGCGCTCTTTGGTCGGGAGCCGGCCGACTCCTCCGTAGCCGGGGACGGCTCCCCCGGGGGTGGCCGGCTGTCTGAGACAGCGGCCACTCCCAGGGGGGAGGGGTCTGCCGGCCGGGGCCTCTAACACCCGATACACGGGAGCTCGGCGAGCCCCGCGAGGACAAAGTAGGCCAGCTTCCCGACGGGCTGGCCCGCGCGGCGCCGCCAGCCAGTCGCCCCGCGCAGCCGCCCCCTCCTCCTCCTCGCCTCAGCCCCGCGCCCGCCTGCCGCCGCCCGCGGCCCGGGCGGCTCTGGCCGGCTCTTGGCGGCAGCCTGCCCGGCCTGCCCGAGCTCTTCCGGCTCGCCAGCTCCGGCTTCCCGCCGCCGCCGCCGGCCCGCTGCCCGGCCCGCCGCCGCCGCCGCGGCGCGCGCTGCCCGGCCCAGCGCCGCCGCCGCGCCTGCCCAGCGCCGCCGCGCGAGCTCTGGCCTCGCCGCCGCGCCAGCCCGCCGGGGCGCCCCCGCCGCCGCCTGCGCGCAGCCCCAGCCAGGCCCAGGCGCCGCCGGCCGCGGCCCGCCCCGCCGCCTGCGCCCCGCCCAGCAGCGCCCCAGCCCCAGCGCCGCCAGCAGGCGAGCAGAGCCTTCCCGCGGTCGCCGCGCCGCGCCCTCGTCTGGCCCGGCGCGCTCAGCGCCCAGCCCGGGGCCCTCGCCAAGCCCTGTGCTGCGTGGCAGCAAGGACGGCGTCCGCAGCGTGGCGCTGCAAGACGCTGCCCAGCGCCTGGCGCAGCCGGCGGATGGCCGCCGACCGCCCGTCGTCATCGGGCGGCGGGGCCAGCAGGCGCACCAGGGCCAGGGCGTCCTCCCCGAGCCTGCCGTGGTCCTCGACGGCGAAGGGGACCATCCTCAGCCCAAGGTAGCGCGCGCGCTTGTCGTTCTCGGCCGCCGCGGCCGCGGCGCCGGCGCGCCGGGCTGACCCGCGCTCCAGCGCGTTCTGGGACAGCGCGCTGACCACGGTGAGGTCCACCCGCATGGGACAGCTACCCGGGGAGCGTGGATTATCAGGTCCATTCGGGCCTCGGGCCGGCTGGCTGCGGCGTGCGGCAACACCATCTCCTGGTGCACCGTGCAGCTCATTTCCTCACACCAGGCCGCCAGCACGGCGCAGCCGGCGTCGTGGCGGCGGACGAGCCACCCGCCCACCGCGCAGTACCGCGCAAGCTGCCTCTTCGGGTCCAGCACAGCTCCGCACACGCTCCCGTCGGGGTGCCTGCGCTGACACACTCCCGTGCAGCAGGGCAGGTCCTCGCCGAGGCGCACGCCCAGCGCGACGCCGAACCGCGCGTCTGAGAGGCGGTGCTCGGGCCGCGAGGGCGGGCCCAGCCAGGCGCTCGCCCCGGGGCCGCCTGCGCTGTGCAGGGCCGCCGCTGCCAAAGGGTCGTAGCTCGCCTCGTTGGCGACAGTGCGCGCAAGGGGGGCCGAAGCCAGAGCGTGCTGCGGGGCTGCGAGCCCCTCGTCGCCCACGTGGGCGGTCTCGTCCTGAAGAGCAGCCTGGAGTACCCGCGTCGCCTCCGGGAGGCACCTCCGCGCCCAGGGGCTCACGCTGGCCAGCGCGCCTGCCCCGTCCAGCCCACGTCTGCGCAGGCAGTGCGGGAGGCAGAGGTGCCACGACGCCGCCTGGGCCGCCGCCGCCGTGAGCTCGACGTTCCGCAGCCCCAGTCCACCGTCCTTTCCCGCGAGTCCTCCCGCTCAGGCCCTCCAGCGGCCGGCCGCGCACGTGCTGCACCTCCGCCAGGAGCGCCGCGTCCAGGGCGCGGGCTTCTGTCGTCGGGATGCCGCAGGTGCGCGCGAGGAAGGTGTAGTCAGAGCTCGCCCTGGCTCGCAGCAGCGCGAGGGCCTGCTGCGCGTCCAGTCCAGCGGCCCGGAGCTCTCTCAAGCGGGAGTACACTCGCGCCCGGGAAGCCGCCAGGCGGGTCACCTCCGGGCCCCCCTGCGCCAGCATACTGCCGTCGGCTGGCTGCGCGGCTGGGGCAACCGGCACCCCTGGCGCGGCGGGCAGCGCACCGTGGCGGAGTACGAGGGCCCGCGGCTCCACCTCTGGGTGCGCAGGCAGCGCTGCCACGTCCACCTGGCGCCCTGGGCTGAGCTTGGTCTTGGTCGGGTTGCCGCGGAGGCCAAACTGGGCACACGCGGCGACGAACGCCGCCTCCGTCTGCGCCGCCACCGCCGGCTCGCAGATCACATCCAGGTCGTCTTGGTAGCAGCAGCTGCGTCCCAGCTCGGTCGCCGTCCCGGCCGCGGCCACCACCGAGTCCGCCACGTGCTCGTAGCAGAGTGGGAACAGCTGGTTGGTGAGCACGTCGCCTTGGTCGCCCCCCCTCTCCTTCGGGAGCAGCGTGCGGCTGCCGTCCTGCGCCACATGCACGTGCACGGCCGCCGCGCTCAGACCGCCGCGAGCTCACGGCAGCAGCTCGGGGACCATCGCCTGGACGGCCCGCGCTGCAGCGGCCCGGTCGTACTCGTTGTGTGCGTTGCTGGCGTCCAAGCTCAGCTTGCAGCACCCCGGCCGGCTGTCTAAGTCAAGCAGCGCTGCTTTGTGCATGAACTCCGCTCCCCTCGCGTTGCCCACGGAGTATTCGCCGTCGCCGAGGGCCGCCGCCACCCTGCCCCGGAACACCCTGCTCACCGCTCTGGAAGCGGCGCGGCGGTGGAAGATGCCCAGGGCAAACGGCCGGACCTTGTCGTGCTCCTCCCGGTCCCCGGCCAGGACGCGGGCGCCCAGCCAAGCCTGCACGGCCTCGCGCGGAGCCTCGCCGAGCTGCAGGTTCAGGATCACCTTGGCGAAACTGTCCCACGCCTCTTCGCGCTGCGGCATCCATGCCCAGTGCTCTCCCCGGGCGCCTCCTGGGCCCACGCCGCGGTGCCTCGGAGCGTGGAGGCACGCCAGGCGCAGCTGTACCAGGAAACGGTCGACGGCATCATCCGTAGGCTGCACGGCTGGGACGTCTGGCTGGGCCGCCGCCCTCGGGAACAGCGCCGGGAGGCAACGGCGCGCCTTCTCGTCTGGGGCGAGCGGCAGCTTCCCGTCAAGCACCCGCATCGCCTCCCGCGCGTCCTCGTCAGCAAGGGCCTCCTCGATCGCCTGGACGTCTTTCGCCAAGCCTTGCGCTGCTGTGAGTGCCACGCCGCCGCCGGTGCGCAGCGGGAGCTCCGCCTCCTGCCAGAGGATGTCCCACGACCCCTCCCAGATCAGCCGGATCCGCCTGGCCAGCGTGCGCGCCACTGTGTCCCCCTTCTGGCCCCTGGTCCCTCCCCGCCGCTTCCGCGACGCAGCGAAGAGGAGGCGGTCCGAGAAGAGGAGCGCCTTCAGGCCGCGGACCTCGCTCTCGCCCCCGGCCGCCGCCAAAACGGAGTCGCACAGCACCTTCCGGAAGTCCGCTATGGCATAGCGGAGCGCCTCCGGGACGACAGAGATGGTGCCGCACCTGTCGTGGAGGCAGTCCCAGCTGACGTCGTCCCAGAACTCCATCCGCTGGAGCTCGCCGTATTGCACCGCCCCGTCGGCCTGCACCAGCGGTGCCGCAGGCCGCGCCGGCTGCGGCGCCGCGGCGGCCGGCGGCGCCCCGGCCCGCATGCCCGCGGCCTCCGCCTCCCCTCCTCCTCCTCCTCCTCCTCCTCCTCCTCCTCCTCCTCCTCCTCCTCCTCCTCCTCCTCCTCCTCCTCCTCCTCCGCTACCCTCGGCCGACCCGAACTGGCCGAACCGAAGCGAAACAGCCAAACCGGACTGGCCGAACCACACTGGCCGCGCAACTCGAACCGGACGGGCTGGACCGGACCAGACGACGTTCTGAACTGGACCGGCTGAGGCGGCCCGAACGCACAGCGGACAAGACTGAACCGAACCGAACCGAACCAGGGCCATCGTGACTGTTGCGCCTCGTACACTCGTCTTGAATGTTTGCAGGCGTTTCGCGGACTGCGGATGGATCGTTTTCAAAATGCGATGATCGCCTGAGCACCGCACATCTTCCTTTTTACAAACTTCACGAGCTTCATGGGTTAAGGGCGGTTCCTTTTCAAAACAAGGCTGTCGCCTTAGCGCCACGCACATTCGTCTTAAACGGTTGCAAGACTTTCACAGGTTCCCATTTCAAACGTACCAAAAACTACGTGCTGGAGCGATTCGGGACTGTCAGGGCGCAACAATGATGTTGATTCCTGGTGCTGAAGCCCAAGTATTGGCACTCTGGCACGATTCAAGATCGCCAAGACGCAACAGTCAAATTGATTCGTGGCAATGCGGTCCCGAGAATGGTAATTAGCACGCTTCAGGATGTTCAAACGGTTGTCTCCAAAACGGGGCACTTCCTCCGTGAAAATGAATCCTTGTAGAGTCCTTTGAAAGGGGAACTTGGAGGAAGGGTGCATTCCAATATCGTTGGTGGGTCTTGGGTTTACACTGGTCCTCCTCCTCCTCCTCCTCCTCCCCATCCTCCTCTTCTCTTCCTCCTCCTCCTCCTCCGCCTCCTCCTCCTCCTTCTTCTCACCCTCCTCCTCCTCCTCCCCTCCTCCTCCTCCTCCTCCTCCTCCTCATCATCATCCCCCCTCTCCTCCTCCTCCTCCTCCTCCTCCTCCTCCTCCTCCTCCTCCTCCTCCTCCTCCTCCTCCTCCTCCTTCCTCCTCCTCCTCCTCCTCCTACCCCCCTCCCACCCTCCTCCTCCTCCTTCCATCCCTCCCTCCCTCCCTCCTCCCTCCTCCCTCCCCCCTTCCTTCCCCTCCCACCCTCCCTCCCTTCCTCTTCCTCCCGTTCCCTCCTCCCTCCTCCCTCATCCTCCTTTTCTCGTCCAGCCTTCCTGGGCGCGCACTCCCGCAGCAAGCTCTTCCCGGCTTACGCCGAAACTCCGCGACGACGGGCGGTCGGGTCTCTCCGTGGCGGGCGGGCTCACCGCACGAACGTCATCGGCCGGCTGGCCTGCCGGCCGGCGAAGCGATACGCAGAGAAGGAACACGGGAAGGAAGCGGAGGGGGATGCCCAGGGAGGGGCGAGGAGCAGGAGAGGACGAGGGGATGGGGAGGAGGAGCAGGTGCACCATGGAGGAGGAAGCGGAAAAGCGCCAGTGTAAACCCAAGATGCATCAACCGATGCTGCACTGCACCCTGCCGTCCCGATCCCCCCTCATAGGTCCATACAAATATTCCTTTTTCACTGCGGCCGCCGGCCCCCGGGGGTCCCCGGACGAAAAGTACCCCGGCAAGGTCCCGGCAAGTCCCCGGCAAGTCCCCGGCAAGGTCCCGGCAAGGTCGGGCCAGAGATGCCGGAGTTCTGTTTCGGAGTCCAAGAGGGCTCCAGATCGGTCCAAGAGGGCCCCGAGAAGCTTTCTAGACGGTCCAAGAGAGGCCCGAGACGGCCAAAGATCGCCCGAAGACGCCCCAGATGGCCCCAAGACAGCCCAAGAGGCCTCCAAGACGCTCCAAGGGCCTTCCAAGAGGCCTCCGAAGAGGGCCCCAAGTTGCCAAAATCGTTGATTTTCATTGGTTTTTTCTATGTTTTTTTGCGTTCTGGCCTTTTCGCTTCCGGACGCTCCAAGAGGGCCCAAGAGGCCTTCAAGACTGCTCCAAGACGGCCCACGAGGCTCCCAAGACGGCCCCGGAGCGGCCCAAGAGCGCCCCCCAGACGGCCCAAGTGCTGCCCAAGGCGGACCAAGAGGCCCCAAGACGGGCCCAAGAGGGGCTCAAGAAGGGAACCGAGAACTGAAAAATCGAACCCTCCGCCCCAGAAGGCGCCCAGGACCCCGAAAGAGGCCCCAAGAGACTCTCCAAGACACCCCCAAGACGCCCCAATAAGCTCCCGTGAGGCCCCAAGAGGACCAACAACGTCAGGCCCCAGGCCCCAAGAGGACCAACAAATACCGCCAAGAGCCCGCCGAAAGCCCCCCAAGAGACCGTCACGAGAGCTCAGGAGGCCCCCTGGAGGCCTCCCGAATTCTCCAAGAGGCCTAAAAAGAGGCGCCAAGAGGCCCCAAACGGCCCCACCGAGGCTCCAAGAGGCCACGAACGCGCAAGCAAACGCCTGCGATGGCACAATACGGGCCGGCGGAATGAGCGAAGCGATTAAATATTCCTTTTTCACTGCGGCCGCCCCCCTTGAATGATGAGCGGCTGGCGGGCCCACCAATCAAACGAAGGCACCTGTCGCAAAAGGTCCTCCCAAAACTCCAAAAACACGCATGGTAGCTTCATGTTGAGAAGCACGTGTCCTCTATCCGTCTGAAGGTCGCAAGATGTCATACTCGTGGACGCATTCTTTGCGGATTTCCCACGCGAGAGCCTGTTTAAGGAGGCCCAGGGTAGCTTCATTTTGAAAAGAGCACGCCCTCCATCCGTCGAAGCGTCGAAGGATGTCGAAATCATGGACGTATGCTTCACAGAAGTCTCACTCGAGAGCCCCGTGTCGAATGAGGAACCGCGCTCTATCCGTACTAGCTGGTGCGCAATATGGAACGCCGGGTCGTAAGAGGTCGAAAAAGGTCAAACTGAATGTAGATGGTGGACTTTTACTTCGGATGCGCGCGAGGCCGACGAGAGACCCCAATACGCCGTGGGCGTTCGATAGGGCATGTGCCTAGGAGGCAGACGCTGGTGGACTCCTTATATGATGAAGGCGGCGGCGACGTCCATGGCCGACTCATGATTGGAGTTCCACCGGCTGCCAGACCCAGGATCCCTTATCGAAAGGTTCCTTGTCCAATGCCCCCACCTGGTTGGAAAGGACTCGCCATCCACTCGCGCAGCCAAGGACAACTTTCAAGCCGAGCACGCACGGCGCCGAGGCGAGAGCCCGTTCTTGAAAACGGGCCGCCCTATACTATGATTTAGCTGTGTGAGTCGATGTGCGGCGCCAACCGAGCGAGCGCCCTATTGTGAAAACCGTGCGGTCCACCCGCCAACGCGATCTGAATGCATCTGTTCGTTGTGGCCTCCTGCGGCGACGAGGACGATGGAGATGAGGATGTGGATGTTGCTGCTGCGGATGACGACGGCGACATCCTCCTCACTCCTCCTCCATTCCGATTCCATATAGATAACTTTCCTCTGTCGCACCCTAGGCAAGTTTTTAGGGCGGTCCGGGCGGTTCGCCTGAGACTTCTTCACTAGTAATGACCCTGAAGCACAACATTGGCAAAAGCTTCACAGATGGAGGGCGGGTCGTTTTCAAAATGTCGTTTTCGCCTTAGCGCCGCGCACGTTCGTTTACAGAAAATTAAATAAAAAAAAAAAAAAAAAAAAAAAAAAAAAAAAAAAAAAACCGAGAGCTTCACGGATTGAGGGCGACTGGCTTTCAAAGTGTGGCTCTCGCCTAAGCGCCGCGCACATTCGCTTCAAGAAATTGCACAAGCTCCACGGAGTGAGGGCGGCTCCTTTTCAAAAAGTGGCTCTCGCCTTTGCGCCGCGCACCTTCGTTTTTTTTTCAGATTTGCAAATGTTTCACGGGATCCCATGATCAGCGTACCAGATATAGTGCTTTGGGTGGGTTGTGGATTTGGGGTGCAACAGTTACGTTGGTTCGCGGTGTTGAAGTCCCAGGAGCGGCGTTCTGACACGATTCCGGATCGTCAAGACGCTACAGTCAGGTTGGCCCAGGGCGTTGGAATCCCGAGAACAATGTTTTGGCATGCTTCAGGGTCTTCAAAAGGGCTGTCTTCCAACGACGCAGTTCCCTCAGTGGACATGAACCATTGTAGAGACCTGGAAAACGGGAGCTTAGAGGGAGGGTATATTCCAACATCGTTGATGACTCTTGGGTTCACACTGGTCCTCCTCCTCCTCCTCCTCGTCCTCCTCCTCCTCCTCCTCCTCCTCCTCCTCCTCTCACCTCCTCCTCCTCATCCATTTCCTCCTCCTTCTCCTCGTTCTCCTCGTTCTCTCCTCCTCCTCCTCCTCCTCCTCCCCTCCTCCTCCTCCTTCCTCCTCCCCCTCCTCCTCACTCATCCTTCCTCCTCCTCCTCCACCACATCCTCCCCCTAGAATTACCCAATCTGATTACTATTCTCCCTCTTCCCCCGATGACGGTTTGAAAGTGTCCGACCCCCCCCCCGCCCCGCGTACTGTTTTTTACACACAGGTTTCCCCGGAGTTGGGTTTTCGCGTGCCTTTTTCAAAATGCTGCTCTCGCTGAAGCGCTGGCCTCATTTTCGGGCCCCGCTCGTTCCGAATCGTGCTCCCGCTGCAGCGCTGGCCTCATTTCCGTGCTTCCGCTCGTTCCGAATCGTGCTCCCGCTGCAGCGCTGGCCTCATTTCCGCGCTTCCGCTCGTTTCGACTCGTGCTCCCGCTGCAGCGCTGGCGTCATTTCCCGTGCCACGCCACGGCATGCAATGCAATGCTAGGTTCACAGTACGCTTTGCGGTGCTCTTCTACGCCATGCCATGCCGTGCTCTACAATGCATCGCGTACCCTTTCGGGATCATTGCCCTGTTCGGCATCCGACTGTGCGGGTAGAGAGGGGATCTGCGCCATGGTACAGGATGGGAGGGAGGGGTAGGATGTCAGATATGACGCGAGCGCACCTAGCTTGTCTACTCCCCCTCCTCTTCTTCTTCCTCCTCCTCCTCCTCCTCCTCCTCCCCCTCTTCCTCCTCCTCCCTCTCCCCCTCCTCCTCCTCCTCCTCCTCCTCCTCCTCCTCCTCCTCCTGCTCCTCCTGCTCCTCCTCCTCCTCCTCATCCTCCTCCTCCTCCTCCTCCTCATCCTCCTCTTCCTCCTCCTCCCCCCTCCTCCTTCTCCTCCTCCTCTTTCTCCTCCTCCTCCTCCTCCTCCTCCTCCTCCTCCTCCTCCTCCTCCCGCTACTCCTCCTCCTCCTCTCCCTCCTCCTCCCCCTCCTCCTCCTCCCCTCCTCCTCCTCCTCCTCCTCCTCCTCCCTCCTCGTCCTCCTCCTCCTCCTCATCCGCCTCCCCCGCCTCCTCCTTCTCCTCCTCCCTCCTCCTCCTCCTTCCTCATTCTCCTCCTCTCCTCCTCCTCTTCTGCCTTCCTCCTCTTCCTCCTCCGCCTCCTCCTCCTCCTCCGCCTCCTCCTCTTCTTCCTCCTCTCGTCCTCGTCCTCCTCCTCCTCCTCCTCCTCCTTCTCCTCATCCTCCTCCTCTTCCTCCGCCTTCTCCTCCTGCTCATTTCCCTCCTCCTCCGTCCCTCCTCCTGCCGCTCCTGCTCCTGCTGCTCCTCCTCCTCCTCCTCCTCCTCCTCCTCCTCCTCCTCCTCCTCCTCCGCCTCCTGCTTCTCCTCCAGTCCCCCTCCTCTTCCTCCTCCCCCTCCTCCTCCTCCTCCGCCTCCTCCCCCTCCTCCTCCGCCTCCTCCTCCATTCCTGATCCTCATGAATAACTCCTCCATGCCGCACCCCGAGGCAAATCGGAAGGGCGGGCGGGCGTTTCGCGTGAGACTTCTTACCGCTATAGTCCTGAAGCTTCAAAACTGGGAACAGTTTAACAGATGGAGGGCGGGCCGCTTCCAAAGCGTGGCTCTCGCATCAGCGCCGCGCACATTCGCTTTAAACAAGTGTAAGATGTTCTCGGACTGAGGGCGGGTCGTTCTCAAAATGTGGTTCTCGCCTTAGCGCCGCGCGCATTCGTTGAAACAAGTCGCAAGAGCTTCACGGATTGAGGGCGGGTAGTTTTCGAAATGTGGCTCTAACCTTAGCGCTGTGCACATTCGGTTTTCAACTGTGCAAGAGCTTCACGGATTGAGGGCGGCTCCTTTTCAAAATGCGGTTCTCGCCTTAGCGCCGCGCACACTCGCCCCAAACAAAGATGACAGAGTTGTGTTGATTATCAGAGTTATTCCTGATCCTCATGAATAACTCCTCCATGCCGCACCCCGAGGCAAATCGGAAGGGCGGGCGGGCGTTTCGCGTGAGACTTCTTACCGCTATAGTCCTGAAGCTTCAAAACTGGGAACAGTTTAACAGATGGAGGGCGGGCCGCTTCCAAAGCGTGGCTCTCGCATCAGCGCCGCGCACATTCGCTTTAAACAAGTGTAAGATGTTCTCGGACTGAGGGCGGGTCGTTCTCAAAATGTGGTTCTCGCCTTAGCGCCGCGCGCATTCGTTGAAACAAGTCGCAAGAGCTTCACGGATTGAGGGCGGGTAGTTTTCGAAATGTGGCTCTAACCTTAGCGCTGTGCACATTCGGTTTTCAACTGTGCAAGAGCTTCACGGATTGAGGGCGGCTCCTTTTCAAAATGCGGTTCTCGCCTTAGCGCCGCGCACACTCGCCCCAAACAAAGATGACAGAGTTGTGTTGATTATCAGAGTTATACCCGAAATTCTGGTCTGGAACGACACACACTTGTCAGGACGCAACAGTCACATTGATCCGCGGTGTTGAAGTCACAGGACTGGAGTTCTGTCACGATTCAGGATAGTCATGACGCAACAGTCAGATTACCTCGTGACGTTGAACTCCCGAGAATGGTGTTGTGGCATGCTTCCGGATGTTCACACAGTTGTCCCCCAACGGGACACTTCCCTTAGTGGAGCGAAACCCTTTTAGGGCCTAAGAAGAGGGAGCCTGGGGGGAGGGTGCACTCCAACATCGTTGATGAGTCTTGGGTTTGCACTGGTCCTCCTCCTCCTCCTCCTCCTCCTCCTCCTCCTCCTCCGCCTCCTCCTCCTCCTCCTCCTCCTCCTCCTCCTCCTCCTCCCGCCGACTATTGGAGGCCACGGGGGCCCCAGAGGCCCCGCCTTGTAGGTTGTCCGCAGCTTCTTGGCCACCAGCGGCAGCTTCGTGATCACAGGGTACTTCAGACCCGAGTCGTGCATCTCCGTGACGTGGTCGCGCCTCGCGACGTGGTTGGGGAGGCCGAGAGGAAAGAGGCGTGAGGGGAGGGGAGGGGAGGGGAGGGGAGTGGGAGCACTTGGGGGGAGCAGTGGGAAGAGTAGAGGAGCGGTGGGGCGGAGTGGGGCGGAACAGAGCGGCGCGGAGGCGGAGCGAGGCGGGATGGGGTGAGGGTGCCTCGCTGACCAACCCCCTTCCCTCTCCCCGAGGTCCGAGGCCGCGGAAAAAACGGCATCGTGAGAAGTCACTGCCAAAGCCCTAGTCCCTATCTCACTCCGACATCTCTCGAGCTGGGTCGGTCCGTGAGGGCCCTGGGCCGAGATACAGCAGACACATACGATAAGAAGTCTTGCTATCAGCAATTGTGGGGCGTATTTTCAGTCCGTCTTCGAGGGTCCTGCGGTGCCCCAGACCTTCCATTGGCCTCTGAGGCCACCAGGAGTCAATCAATTAACAGTTAAGAAATGTCCCTGGGGCACCTGCTGCCAGGCAGATTTCTTGTTCGACGCGCGTAGTGTAGGACGCAGTGGAACTGAAATGTGGCAACACGCACACGCAACGATGGTTTTCGTTGGCTCAGACAGCACTCTGGGTCACGCACTCCGTAGCTTTTCTGGCTCAAGGCTCGAACCCGCACAGAGCAGCGTGACCCAGAGTGCTGCCCGAGCTGACGAAAATCATCGCTGCGCGTGCGCGTTGCCACATTCCAGCCCTGTGCAAGAAAAATGCAACTCATAGGTCTCAGGGCTGACCGGCCCCTGCCCAAGGCCACCTCTGCCTGGACCTCCCTGCCCAGAGGCTGGGACGGGACAGGACAGGAGCCTGCGTGCCAGCTCCTGGAGGAGCGGTCCCCTGGAGGGCAGGCGGTTCGGATGTACAGCTGCAGCGAGTGGACGTTCACGGCGAATGAAAAAGCAGAGAACCACAACCTTCTCATTCACGAAAGGCGTCACCCCATCTCAAGCAGGGTCTTCCGACAGAGCGTTTAGCTACAGAACTCCGACCTCGTGGTTTGTTTGCAGCGCGGACCCCTGAAGCTCTGGACACCCTTCTCGGGACTGGCGCTTCATCCCGAGTCGTCTTTTGACGGTTGCCTCTGAGTGCTCGCCCTCCTCCCCCCCCCCGCGGCCGCACCGTCCTCCTCCTCCCCTCCTCCTGCATGTCGGCCAATTCGCTTTGTAGTGCCGCTGCATCGCTGCTATGCTGGAGCAGATTGCCCCCCTTGCCGCCGACGAAAAAAAAGAAACAAATGTTGACGGTTGCGGGGCCCGGCAGCGGCGCCTGGAGACCGAGAATTGTCAAAACCTCACGTTGCCATTTGAGCGACGAAAAGAAACCAAAGAAACCAGTCTTACGCGAGACAACACAGCAACCTTGCGCTGTAGCTTACGCGGGCCGCCAGCGTGGCACACCGCGTGGAAACGAGGGAGCTCACGCCTGGCCCTCGCCTGACGCGGGCAGCTTCCGCGCCACTGTCGGTGAAGGTGACCCCGTTTTTCTTCGTCCCTCATCTTCCTCACCGCTCCTCCTCCTCCTCCTCCTCCTCCTCCTCCTCCTCCTCCTCCTCCTCCTCCTCCTCGGGGGCGGAGCGAAGACCCCCCCACCCGCGAGGGGAGCCGCGGCGGTGGCGCCGCCGCACCTGCACGCGCTGGCGGGGATGGCCGTGGCGTGAATGATCTGGATCGAGCCCGCCTGCGCGCGGTGGCGACCGGCCATCTCCTGGGGGCGGCGGCACCGCTGCCGCCGCCGCGGCGGCCGCCGCTGCCGCAGCCGCTGCCGCTGCCGCCGCTGCCGCCACCGCTGCCGCTGCTGCTGCCGCCATCTCCTGGGTGGCGGCAGCAGCGAAGGCACGATCAGCCAGCATCGAGTCGGCAAGCAGGATCGGATCGGGTTGCGCTTCGGATCGGGCCGTATCGGCACGGAGTCAAGGTCGAATCCGATCGGCCTCGTCAGGATGCACAACTGTATATTGCAAAAGTTGGGCCGCATCGGATCGCTGGAAAATCGGAACTGGGTCGGACCGAGCCCGGCGAACTCGAAATCGAATCGGATTGAATTCGAATGGGCCCTGGAGCAGGTGCCCTCAGCAGGCAGGCCGATTTCTCAGCTTTTAGTCGGTTTCGGCAGCCTGGGGCAGAAAGGGCACGTCAGGGCAACACGGCCGCTTCCCCGAAGCGCCCGCTTTGACACTCTACCACTCGTCTGGACAGCTAAACTATAGGCCACCTGACCTCGTGCATCGTGGGGCGAGGTGCACGACGCTCCGTCATCTTCGCGTCCTCACAAGGCAGCTCTGGGACTGGATAAGGAGCCATTGGATAAGGCCTCTTCCTCCTCCTCCTCCTCCTCCTCCTCCTCCTCCTCCTTTGGATACGGCCTCCAGGGTCTGGAAGCCGGTGGAACGCCAATCGTGGAATGGCAAAGGATATCACCGCCGCCCTCATCAGATAAAGGAACCCCCGAGGATCTGACGCCTCAGGGGCACACTCCTTAACCAACGCCCCACCGCATTCAAATAAGAAGAGGGAGGCGTGAATACCGGGGAGATACCATGGCCCTGGCCATGAGATCCAGCCCCCCCCCAAGTCACCCCCTCCCTGCTGGACGCCCCCCGCACAGGGGGGGGGCGATGCGGGCCCCCACCGGGGCTGCCGAAGCCCACGACCTCCGCCCCCCCGCCCTGGGCGGGCCCGAGCTGTTCGAGCGGGCGGCTCGAACAGAGCGTCGTCGCCGCCGTCGGCGGCCGCCGTGGGTGGCGATTGGCGCGTTCCGTTTTCGTCTGTCGCATTTTCGTCGTCGCCGTTTCGTCGCCGTTTCGTCGTCGTCGTCGTCGCCGCCGCCGCCGTCGTCGTCGTCGTCGTCGCCGCCGCCGTCGTCGTCGTCGTCCGCCCCTGCTGGCCAAGAGGGCCCGCGCGCGCCTGGTAGAGCTGGCTGATCGCGCCGTTGATGCTGATGTCACGGAACTCCTGGGATGGCGCTCCCGCGTCAGTCCATCCAAGTGGGGGGACGACGACGACGACGACGACGACGACGACGACGACGACGACGACGACGACGACGACGACGACGGCGGCGGCGGCGGCGGCGGCCGCGGCGGCCGCGGCGGCGCCGACGACGATGACGATGACGACGACGACGACGACGAGAGTGGGGGGGAAGGGCTGAGAAGGTCAGGAGATACGGTCAGGAACTGTTGCCCAGCGTGTCGCCCTGGCGGCCCGACGACACGCTATGCCCTGCAAGCGGATAGCGCGTCGCTCCGCTCAGCGGGGCGGGAGGCTGGGAAAAGACTGGGACGCTGACGCTTGGGGACTTGGACGTGGTTAGCGTGTCGGGCCGAAGGCTGGTGGGCCAGAATTGGCGGCGCGTCGCGCTAAACAGACGTTCCTGACCGCGTACAGGTATGTCGGACGGCGATGAAGAACAAGTGAAACGATGAAGAAAATAGCTCTCCGCCGCTCGGAAACGCTTTAGATAATCCCAGTGACTACGACGACGACGAAGCCGACAAGCAGGCCTGGAACCAAATAAATGCATCATCGCCCAGGGCGCTGCTGCGTCTAGATTGTCCGATATTCTCTTCTCCTCCCTCCCTCTGGCAGCGTTCATATTGCAGTGGAGGCCCGACCACAAGAAATCCAACCCTGACCCCAGGACGTCCACTATTTTTTGTTGGGGGACGTCACGCTTTCCACGGCAAAAGCATCGAAACCCAAAAAACCCAGGGCACCCTGGAGGCAAGCAGGGTGTTTCTTGGCATGGGTCCCCAGGTCCCCACTGTATCTGCCACCATGCCGCGGGCACCGAGGTGAAGGGCCCTCTGGTCCCCCCGGGGCTCTCTGCACGGAGTCTCGCAAGTGCCCTTCTGGGGTGCCCTGAACCCCAAAGGGTGGGCGCTCTTGGGCGCTCTCGGCCGCTCTCTCCCTCCCCCCCGTGATTTGGCGGCGCGCACAAGGGGGTATGGGGGGCGGGGAAAACGTTTCCGAGAAGGAGGCTGCTTCTTAGAAGACGCCTGCCTTACATCTATAGATGAGGCACGCGCCTTCTAAGAAGCAGGGGTGGTTCTAAAAAGCCTTCCCCCATCCGCCTACCCCCCTCTGCGCGCGGATGGGTGGCTGCTCCACAGGCCTCGGGAGCGTGGTTTGGAACCCAAGCCTGCAACATGGCCTACGATGGTCCTGGAGCCCGTCCTGGCACTCTCCTGGGGGCCTCTCCGGCCGCGCTGAAGGCCCGGGGCCGGCCCACGAGCTCAAAAACATTGGATATACGCCTAGCTGGTGCATGACATTCGCATACCAATCTTTTGGTTTCCAAGACGGCCCAACAGGCCCCCAAGATCGCCCCCGGACGGCGCCCGAGGTTCCCAAGAGGGCCCAAGAGGCCCCCAAGACGGCCCCAAGCCAAGAGCGGCCCAGGATGAGAACACGAACGGACATATCCAGTCCCGTCCTTCCAAATGGCCCCGAAACCTCCAGCAGGTCCCAAGAATTCCCCAAAGAGGCCACGAAGAGGCACAAGGGACAGCCCCCAACGGCTTAGAAGACTCCAAGACGGCCCCGAAGCCTCAAGGGGCTCCACCCAAGAGGCCCGAGGAGGCCCCCAAGATGCTTCCACGATGCCCACACTAGGCCTCGCAGCCTCCAAGAAGTCTCTAAGAAGCCTCTTGTCCACGACCCAGGAATGATGGCCGAATGCGCCGAAAGCAACTAGATAGGTGTCTTCTGGCAGGACACGGCCCCATTCAATCCAGGCGCGTCCCTTTCCAAATACTGATTAACGCGGGCGGCACGCAACACGGTCTCCCTGGCAACTAATACTGCGCGAGCCACAAAGCGGATCAGACCCAGCACTTCCGCTTGCAAGTAGCACCGCGCGGTGAACATGCGTTGATGTTTAGCAAGTGCGTGTTGGATCACCCACTATCGAAGTAAATGGTACCATGCAGGCTACACGCGCGCACATGCCGCACAAAATACATACACGCTAAAAGCATGCCACAGGAAATCTAAGAAGGCCAAGTGGCCTGTAGTTGAAACATGAGCTGCGCGTCCTGCGCGCACATGCAAAAAACAAAAAAAAAACATAGGAACGGAAAAGTCAGAAATGCTCTGAGCATCTGCCTCCAAATGTGTCAAAACCTGGCCGGCTTCACAAGATCGTGACGCGGGGGGGCGCTCGAGCTCCTCTGAGGACGAGGGAAGGAGGAGGAGTATCCTGGACTATCCTCCCGACGACGATGTCGTCTCCTCCCACGGGCGCGCCCGCCGCTGCAGTTCCGCGGTATCCAGCCCTCGCGCTGCGCCTCCGCGTCGCGCCCGCGGCGCGGCTTCCGCGCCAACTGCTGGTCCTCCGCAGCCTGCACCTCTCTTGCAGAACGGGTTCTCCATGTGGAGAGGGGGCGTGACGACCTGGAGCTGAATTCCGGCCCTCCCCCCGCTGCTTGTTCCTCCATACTCGGCCAGGCTGGCCCTTCTCTTTTGGCGGGGCTGGCCAGGCTGGCCGCGTACGTCCGTCTTCTCGCTCTCCAGCTTCGTCCTCTCCTCCGTCTTCTCGACGTGGTCGGCTGGGCTGCTGGCTTCCGCGGTCTCTGCTGCTATCATCGCCGCCTGCGCGAGCCACCTCCCCAGCCTTTTTGCCATCTTTCCACTGGGCATTCTTCTGTCTCAGCTTCAGCCTCAGCCTCTGCCGCCTCCCCATCCTCTGCCTCAGGCCCGGGTTCTCGTTCGCCACGTACTTCTTCAAGACTGGGGAGTTCGCCATCTGGCGCGGCGGGCTCATCGTTCTTCACCTCGTCATCGGGGCGTCGGTCCGCCTGTCCCCCCCGGTCCGTCTGGGGCTCGCCTTCTCCGTGGTTCGCCGCTTCTCGCTGCCGGTGATCGGCGTCTGCTAGCTCATCCCAGCGTTTCGGCTTGTACGCCACGGAGTCGCAGCTCGGCTTGCCCGCGCACTGGTTCTGCATATTGTCGCTGAGGTACTCCGTCACCGTGCCGGCGCATATGCGGCAGTACCACCTCTTCTGGCTGCCGAGCCATCTCAGCGGGCGCGAGGCGCATGCGTCCGCACCGCGGTAGCTGACGCTTCTGCCCTCCTCTGGTGGCGGGCCGCCGCAGCCTTCCTTGAACCGTCGCCCGACGGTCTCGAAGTCCGCGGAGCTCTTCATGACCGTCTGGTTGCAGCAAGTGCAGGTCCAACCTGTGCCTCGACGGGGTCTGCTCAGAGTGCGCGCGGTGGGCGATCTCTCCTCTTCCTTCCCGAAGTAGTGTGCTTTGAGCTGTCTGTTACGCCTCCTCGCTCGGGCCTCCTTCTGCCGCGCTCTTTTCACCTCTCTGCTTTCTCCTGGTCCCCTGGCAATGGCGTCCTTCGCGCCGATGGCGATGCGAGCTCTCGCCAGCGCGGCTGTAGCTCTGGCCCACTCGTAGCAACTCATCTCGCCCCTAGGCATGGCGTGGCTCGGCGCCCCTCGCTCCGCGAGCTTGTCTGCCGCTCAGTTACCTTCGCATGCTTCTCGTGGGATCCCTTCGGCGGCGGCCTCCTCCTCCGCCACGCGGCTGCTCATGTGATTGACATTTACTTATGGGCGACCTTCTCCTCCTCTGGCTCGGAGTGCAGCACGCATCCTCTTCCACAAGTCGCCGTTGGTGCCCGTTTGCCCCTCTCTGTTGTCACTCTCCTCTCGCCAGTCGATGAAGGTGATCTCGCTGTCGGCCCAGAAAGCGATTGGCCCTTCCGTCACCTCGAGGCAGCGCATGAGCGCGAACAGCTCCGCTCTGTCGTTCGTCCGCTTGCTTCCTGGGAGGGCCCCGCACTGGCATGCCCTCACGTCGAGGCTCTCGCGCCTGATGGCGCTGTCCAGGATGATCCAACTCCATCCGCATCGCCTGCATCTCTCGTCGTTGCTGCACTCGCCTCCTGAAACGTCTCCGCTGGCGACAAGCTCTCCACCGTCTGCCGCTCGGAATCGGCGCGGCGCCTGCGCTTCGCCGTTGCCGACACGATTGCCCTCCTCAGCGCAGCAAGGCGCACGGGGTAGTCCACGATGCTGGTGCGAGGCCTCTGAGCCAGAAGATCGGGTTGGTCGCCGCTTCTTCCTGGGCTCTCCCGGCGAGCCCTTCCGTCTTCTCGTAGATCACGCGCGATTCCCTTGCCGAGCAGTTGCCCCAGATGCGGCGCAGGTCTGCGTCGATCTCGCCGCACTCGCACCGACTGCCCTCGCACCCGAAGCGCCTCGAACGCCTGTCTTTCGCCCATGTACCTGCGCACGCAGCTGCGACCAGCGCGCCTTGCACCAGGTAGTTCCCTTTCTTCTTCAGCGCCTCTAGGTGCTTGCTAGTGCCCGCGTTGTCTATGCCTCCTTCTGCTCCTCCTCCGTCGCGGCGTAGGGCTGCTTCTGCCCATTGCCGCTGGGTGATGTCACTCAGGAACGACTTGATGATGTCCTCGGGGCCTCCGCCCTCCTCGCCTCCTGGGAACTTCCATATGTCTGGCCCTCGCGAGTCCCAGCCCGCTGCCCAGGGCGCAAGGATAATGCTGCCCACGACTCCTCTGCGCTAGTTCCATCTCTGCTCCTCCTTGGCGCTCGCCGGCCTGAAGTACACCATTGGCCACGCTCTCTTGGCCCGGGCCCTGATGTCAAGGCATTTACACCAGAGGTCGAACCGAGCCCTCAGCTGTCCTCTGCCGACGGCGGCATCGGGGTCGATGCCATCCAGCGCGGGGAACGCGGTCAAGCATCGACCTGGCCAGGCTCTCCTCCTCGCCAGGGCGCATCGTCTCCTGGCTCGTTGCATGGCTGCTGGGCTGAGTCCGTGGATGACTGCACCATACCTCAGGGATGCGAATGGCCCCTGGCGTGCTACTCCTCTGCCTCTCCGCAGTTTCAGTCTCCTGAGCCCCCCATCCCACCTGCCTGAGCCGCTGCTCCGCTCTTTGCACTCGCGCGCCATGCGTTCTGCGGGCCGCGGCGCCA